TTTTTTAACATTTTAATCTTTAATCCATTGATTAACTGTCTGTCTGTCTGTCTGTTTATTTGTATGTGCATGTATGTGGGTGGACATGCACCATACCACATCACACATGTAGATGTCAGAGGACAATTAGTGAGAGTCAGTTCTCCTTCCGCCATATAGGTCCTGGGGATCAAACTCATGTCAAATCTGGCAGCAAACACCCCTGCCAACTGAGACATCTGGTTGACCCCAGGCTCTTTCCACATCCTCTTTCTAAGGATCAAACTCAGTTCCTCCTGTTTGCATGGCAAGTACTATTGCTTGAATTTACTAATGGAGCTATCTGTCCATTTGTCAGTGAGACAGTCTTTATGCAGTGATAAGAAATATAGAAACTTATTACTTTTCACCTTCACTGAATGGAGCTATCTGTCCATTTGTCAGTGAGACAGTCTTTATGCAGTGATAAGGAATGTAGACACTTATTACTTTTCACCTTCACTGAAGTGTGTGTGTGTGTGTGTGTGTGTGTAGAGAGAGAGAGAGAGAGAGAGAGAGAGAGAGAGAGAGAAAGAGAGGACCTCAAACTTACCATGTAGTTGAGGGTGATACCGAACTTCCAGTCCCCCTACCTTCATCTCAGACCTGCTGGAATTCCAGGTATGCACCACCACATCTGGTTTGTGCTATGCTGAAGAGCAAATCCAGGGTCTTGTGCATGCTAAGCAACCAGACTACCATCTGAAATACAATCCCAGCCCTATGGAAGTATATTTGACAGATGGAAATTGTATACATTTAAGATGTATACTATGAAGTTTGAGGTATATATACATTGTGAAATTCTTTCCATAATAGATAGACCTAATTAGTGTGTGTATTACTCCAGTTAACTCTTTATATATCTGATAAAAATTCCTGTAATTAATTCTCTTAATGAAGTCCAAGTGTGTATTACATTACTAATATGGTCACCATGCTGTATATTAGATTTACAGAATTCATTCATCCTTCATAACTGCTCTGGATCAACATCCTCCCCTTTCTTCCAGTCCCTGAAAGCCATTGTTGTACTTTGTACTTCTCTGTAAGTTCAATATTTTTCAGCTCTGCTTGTAAATGGCAGCATGAAGGATTTGACTTTCTGTCTCTGACACTTTTTTTTATAAAATTCTCCAGGCCCATTCATGGCATGACACCTCACAAGTGACAGGGATCCACCATTCTTTGAAAGCTGAATGAGATTCCATCTTTAAATGAATGTGTACATATGTTCATATCACATTTCACTAGTTCATTCACCTTTTGATTCGACATTGTAGCTTTTATGAATGATGCTACAACAAACACCAGGGTGCAAACACCTTTTTTAAGATACTCATTTCATTCCCTTTGGCTATATACTCAGAAGAAGGATCGTTGGAGCACATAGATGTTCCTTTTTTTAGGAACTTACATGCCATTTTTCATAATAACAGTAGTGATGGCCATTCCCATTAACCATGCACAGGGTCTGCCCCCCACATCCTCCCCAAAACTTCTACGATACATGTTTAGCCATACCCATCCTAACAGGTACTAGGTGATGGTTCATTAATGTGTAGACAGGTATTGACCACTTTTCAATGTTTGGCTTTAAGACTTCAAGACCCAACAATCCAAACTGGATTTAGTAAGTCAGAACTTAATCATAGCACTTAGGAAGCTGAGGCTGGTGGATTTCTGCACAGTCAAAACTAATTAAGGCTATATACAGTGAGTCCCAGGCTAGCCCAAGCTACAAAGTGAGACCTGGCCTCAAAAGAGCCATGGGTCTTGTTTTTCCAGAATACACTTATCTTTCTTTATGAGACCTGGATCTACTTTGATATATGCTAGATTAAGAAATCCTTAATATGTGCAGTAATTGATTTTATTTAAGAAATGTGACAATTCCTTGATATGCAAATTCTGAATGCTAGTTCCAAAATTAGCATGGGTACACCTAGACAGACAAATTAACATTATTTATGCTTGCTGTTTGTGTTAGTGAAGTGATAAAGAATAGCATTTATTTTTAGATCCAAATACCTAGAAATAGATTGAGTAAGAATAAATCCAGTAATTAGTTTGGGAGTAGAAAGCAGGATTGACTTCATTACATAATGGCTTCCAAAGGGAATGAGCTGTCTTCCTTTTGAAGTTTGATTAAAGGTGTGCCTAGGAAGGATATTCCACTCTGCCCTCCTCAGGGATTTCTTTCCATGGTGGAGTTTCCCTGGGGTAGTTTCACAACTGTCCTGAAGCCCTCTGTGTTTTCAAACTGGTTTGCCATTGTTTTGTTCCTTGGGATGCACTTAAAAATTACTCCATTAGAGGAGACTGGGGAGTAAGCACAATTGGAGGAGGGGGGTTTGCCAGCAAAACTGCAATAAAGAATATGAGGATTCCTTTACATTGGTAAGGTGTTTTCAAATTGTTTTTTTATAAAAAAAATGCCATTTCCAAAATTCAAGCATGCTCAGAAAAATAAAACAAACAAACAAAACAAACAAAATAACCATCAAACCTAGCTTTATCCTTTTGGATGTAGAATACAGTTGACAGATAAAACACAGGGTAGTCGGTTAGTTTTACACTTCAGTTAAACGGCTGACTTTTTTTTTAGTATAAGTGTCTCAATAAATCCTAAGAAATTTAATTCTAGGGGTTCTGGGCTCTTATCTCCTGAATCTGGCCACTCTCCTATAGGAAGATGGTATACTGTTCACCCCAGAGATATATGAACTTCAGCAAAAATAAGTAAATAAAATAAAATTGTAATCTTTGTCTTTTTGAAAATTCTTAAAAGTTTATTTACGGGTTCAGTTACATGGCTCGGTAGGTAAAGGTGCTTGCTGCCAAGTCTGATGACCTGGGACCCACAGGGTGGAAGGAGAGAGCAGACTCTTGGCAGCTGTCCTCTGACCTCCACACACCAGCCCTGACACAGGGGTGTGTGTGTGTGTGTGTGTGTGTGTGTGTGTGTGTGTGTTCATGTACCAGGGTGCTCATGTGCAAGTCAGAGGACCAGTAGTAAAATGCTATACTATCTAAACTATAAGTACAGTTTATTGCAAACTAGGTATCACTCCATCATCCAAGATTTACCTGGAGACTAAATTGTATCAGGCAATGGGTGCTGTATTCAGAGCAAGATCTGAGGTTGAATTTCATCGTTGACTGTACCACCTTTAGGCAAATTAATTCTTCAGCATCTTAGATTCTTTGTCTACAGGCTACAGGGATAAGACAGTTATTGTAAGAGCCAAATTAGCTAATGTGTGCAGAAGCACTTTGCTTTTATGAATGGCTATAAACAGATTATGACTTATTAGAACGCCACTCAGATCTAGGAGTGGCCCAACCCTGAGATCCCAGCACTTGGAAGCAGGGTGGAGGAGGTAGGAGGATTGAGTGTTTGAGGTCAGCCTGAGTCACAAATTGAAACTCAGGGGGAGAGATGTGCAGAAAGGGAAGAAGGAAAAAAAAGAGGGGAAAAGGTTACTCCGCTCTTCCAGAAGGTACTCTCATCTTAGCCTGCCTTGGAATGACTTATTGTCAATGCTGCACAGTAATGGGCTCTTTCCCGGAGTTTTCAAGGGCAGAATTCTTAGCCAGGAGCCACGTGTAGTCACTTTACCATCCATTTTCTTTGTATTTCAAGACACTTGGGTTCCAATTTTAGTTCCAAGCCTCTGTTTCTTCGCATAACAAATGGACCAAATGATATTCACTCCACGAATTTATGCGACCAGGAGAGGTGGGTGAGAAAAATAGAGACGGGTGTGGGGAGGGGATAGAGTTCCTCTTTAGGGGTGCATGAATTCTTTTCTGTGATTCTCCTGAAGTCTCACCGAAAGGCCCTGAGTAGGTGTGCTTAAGGAACAGGACTCCATTTCCCTTGTCCTTCTTTGCCTAGCTGCTCAAAGAGCCCGGCAGGGGAGGCGTGGGAGAGGCCTCTTCCAATCTCCACACATCCCTCTAAGATGGGGTCTGAAACGCTCGAAGCAGCAGCGTGGACTTCCAAGACAATAACCTTCTCTAATCACTACCAGATTCGCGCCAGAAAGCAGCAGGGGAGCCGTTGCCTTGACCCACCGGGGCCTCCAGCCCCTCCCCGCCAGACGCAGGCTAATGCGATACAGACGTCTCCTTCCCCGCATGGCTCTCCCACCCGCCGCCCCTCTCCAGACGGACATCGCTCTTCCGAAGTCATATTTTGGAGGTCATCAGGCCACTTTTCCGCGGACCCAGGGAGAGGCCTGCACCTCGGGACTTCCTAGCTACCCAGGGGGTATTGTATTCACCACCGGCAGAAGCCAACTTCAAAGGGGCATCAGGCGGGGCTTCTCACTCATATCGATGGTACAACAGTGACCTCCAGTGGTTGAGCCAGGAGACAAAAAAAAAAAAAAACCTGCAATGTCTCAAAACAATCCAGTCCTAGGAAGACAGTCTACAATGTAATAGGATTTCCTAGAAATCCTGTGTACAGCATCTAAAAAATCAACAACGACGACAATGATGGCCCCCAAAGTTGCTGAATCTAAGAACCCCAGCAGATGTGGCCAGTGGAAAGTCTCCAGAATACAGTGCACATGGAACTCTAAGGAACTGAGCACCGCTGCCTATAATTTGGGACAATGTCTTCACCTCTTAATCCACTCCAGACCACCACCACCACCACTCCAGTCCCCAAGTAGCTTGTATTAATTCCTCTGTTAGAAATGACCTCTTGATTTCTCTGCCCGATAACATCTTGTTATGATGTCAGATGAAAGCTGGTCACTAGAGGACATGTTCAAGATCGTCCCTCCTAGCAGAATTAACATATAGTATCAAGGACATCAATACTGCTGTATGTGTTTGACTTAAGAAGCAACATGATACAGCACTGTTATAGGGACCTACTATGCTCTGAGTTCTAGGTAAAGGCTGAAAGGTATGGAATGTAAGTCACCTTTTTTGTTTTTGTTTTTGTTTTTGTTTTGTTTTGTTTTTTAGCACTGTAACAAAACACCTGAGGAAACGACATAAGAAAGGAAGGATTTTAATTTTTAGATCTATTCAGATATATGTATGCAGATTTAGATCTTTCTGTCCACTGTCATTGGTATCTGTTGCTTCTGGATTAGGGTGCAGTGATGCAGAACATTGGGACAAAGAGCAAAGTGACCCTCCTCATGGCAGACAGGAGGTGGAGATGGGAAGAACCCAATAGGATCAAGATAACATCCTCCTAAAGGATGGCCCCAGGGACCTACTTCCTCCAGTGAGGCCCTACTTCCTGATAAAGCCATTAAATTATGAGTTCATGCCATCGACTAACCTACAGATTAGGTCAGAGCCCTCATGAGCCAACCATTTCCCCAAAGCTCAATTGCTGAATGTTGCAGTGAGGACATTGATGAGGGATGCACTTCACATGCAAATTATACTAATTACTGAGCTCTGAGTGTTGCAGACCAGTGGGGTGTGCACAGGGAAACAACTGCTACCAAATGTGGTAAGGAATTCTGCATTTGTCTCAAGTGGAAGTCATCACTCTGGTCTTCAAAGAACTGCAATCGAGGGGCTGTCTGAATAAATGAAGGGGCTTTGGTTGGGGCTTTGTGGGTTGAATAGGAGTTAATGAGGCAGGTAGAATGATTTAAGATGGAAAAGAAGAGATGATGCACATTTGGGGTATGACATAACTACCTAGAAGTGAGTGTGTCGAGACAAGGAGCCATCTACACCGGCCCACACTGACTGGGTTATTTATCATTGGCTGTTGCACAGCCTAGAGATACAAGGCTGAAACATAACTGAGACCAGGAAAGAGGACCTTCCAAACTGTAGGCTATGGAAATCAGAGTCTTCAATGATTGCTGAACTGAAACAATATTTAGGGAGAATAACCTCACACATAAACTAGAATAGCATACAGCACAAGCTAAAATCAAATCAGGTTTCTGTCCATTAGTGGTCCTCAGACCACAGGGGTATGGGCTGATCAAATCTCACCTGCAGGGGTTAAGATCAGTCACTGAGCCAGTGAACAAACAGGTCAGGCACAAAACAGAAGACAAAAACACAAGAGGGGCAGCTGCCCAGCTGCAGTTGTCAATGGAGACATATGTCAACATTACAGGAAATGAGACGGCCCAACAGGAGAGTGGAGATGTCAAACTGTATCTTTGTGAACTGCATCTTGCCAGATCATGACTGATTTTTGAATGTCCTCACTGTTGAGAGGAAATCTGGTGAAAATGCTCAGGTCTATCTCTGAGATCCGGGAAGCCTCAGAGGGACCAGTGGGGCCCCACTCTCCATTAAACCCACATCCTGAGTAGCTGGGAGATGACAGCCTGTTTGTTCTTCAGCCTCAGATAATAAATACTGGCCAGATTTGCTGGAATCTGGCCGTTCTGGGTAACTTATCATGAATAAAGAGAAATATGCCCCTTCAGGGGACTCATTGATGGCTGAGGTGGACAATAGCTTAAGCCATGTGGCTGTGCATTATACAATCCCAGGAATGCAGGAAATTTATCTACAGCAGGTCGTGCATGGTGTGAGGAAAATTGGCAACCTGCTGTAGAGGGTACAAGGATCTCCATCCAGGCCCCCAGTGAGAGTTGCTGGTCTGCACTGTGATAAACACAGCATGGGGGACCTTTCTGCTTACTGACACAATCCTCCCATTAGAAAATAATCTCCCTGAGGAGTCTCCCTGAGCACCGAGCCTGGACTCTGCACCCAAAAAGCCCTGGCTGAATCAGAGAACAGTGAGCACCTCCAGGATGAAGAACTAGGAAGTCCCTGAAGATGCCTGAAGATTGGCAGGAGTCGCAGAACATTCCATGCTTCTCAGACATGCCCTTTTATCTTCGTATTAATACTGTTTACATGGGTATTAGAAAGAATGTGAAATTGGGAAACAGATAAAAGTGGTTTTGAATTCTGGCTGTGTCGCTTCATTATCATGAGCAATTTACTTGAGTTGCATAAAGTTCTCTTTAGCTCTAGAAGGTGTCTAGAAACTGTTTAGAAAGGAGACCCTTGTTGGTTGCTATAATATAGCGAGCCTCTATGTTAGTTTTATCTCTGCTGTGGCGAAAAATGCTATAACCAAAGGCAATGTGAGGAGGAAAGGGTTTATTTAGCTTTGATATCTTGATCATAGTCCTTCATGTGGAGAAGCCAAAGCAAAAACTCAAGGCAAGGAACCTAGAAGCAGGAATTGAAGCAAAAGCCATAGAGGAACACTGCTTGGTGGTTTGCTTCCCATGACTTGTTCAACTTTTTTTATACAATCTGGGACCACCTGCCTTAGCGTGGCAGTGGCCTGGGCCCTCCTACACCAATCATTAATCTATAAAATGCTCTCTTGACTTGAATACAGGTCAATTTGATGGAGGCATTTTCTCATTCGAGGTTGTCTCTTTCCAAATGACTCTACCCTGTGTCAAATTAACAAAACAAAACAAAACAAAAAATAACCAACATAGCCTCCAACAAGCATCAATTTTCTCATTCGAGGTTGTCTCTTTCCAAATGACTCTACCCTGTGTCAAGTTAAAAACAAAACAAAACAAAACAAAACAAAACAAAACAAAACAAAAAAATAACCAACATAGCCTCCAACAAGCATCGGCTATTGCAATGACAGCAGCATACACCTTCTTTCAGTAGACTTTGAACTACCACTCACCCCAGAAGTTGCAATAGATGATCTTTACCCAGTGAGCCATCTCATCAGCACAGTAGATGGTCTTATCCAACAAATGCAAGAATCAGAACTGGGCGACCTTTGGCCTGGCCTGGTACTATGTGGTGAAACTGCACAGATGAAGGCTTACACCCAACTCAGCAGTGCAGGACCTTTCTAGGTATGAAATGGCATCCATGAAGAGCAATGCCTGTCCCCATTCAACAATGTGCTGTTTCTGGAGTCAGGGACAAAAAACACATGTGGGAATTATACAACATTATGACAAACACATCAAAGTATTAGAACTGCAAAAGACTAGCCCACAGGACTGTCAGGATCACATAAAACTTTAAAGCAGACACTAACTCTTAGTCAGTGTTGCTGGCAGTTGAGTGAGATGTTCAGTGACCTAAAAATCAGTCTGAATACCCATCTAGAATCAGCCACCTGTTAGTGACACCAAGATCAAGACCTGTGCTCCTTGCCACATATGAAAAGTCCTGTTTTGATGTTGGGGCTTCATGGATAGAGAGTGATGTCTAATCAAGGCTCCTCCTGGTTAGATGACAACATTTAACACATTAATTGTAACCCCAAGTGGTCAGTAGAGTTACACTTGTATGACCTCAAGGATGTGGAAGTTAGTTTGAGAAACCAGGAACCCAGAGAAGAATACTTTTCCTAAATATCCATTAGTTATGATGGAGTGAAGCAACCTCATTTACTCTGTGAAGATAATTCTACAATGCTGGTGGACACCAGCTCTCCTCCTGTGTCCCAGATCCCATAACCAACAACATACTGAACAAGATGCCTGAATGCACCAAATGAAGCCCTGGCCACAGCGTGGATGCTGGATGCCCCTCCCCTCCTCCCCCCACATCTGGTCAATGATGTCTCACTGACTCACCTGACTTGGTGGCTCTTTAGTGTATCATCTCTAGGCTGAGACCTCTACACACGCATTAGCTTTCTAACATTTCTGAAGCAAATAACTACAAAAAAATTAGGCTTAAAATAACATAAATGTATTATCTTGGAACTCTTTAGGCTAGTACTCCAAGCCTTGCTGGCTAAAAGTAAGATCCTGTCAGTACTACTGCCTATTCTGGAAGCTCGAGGGGTACAGATAGGACAAATCTGTTTCCATGCTTTTTACTAAAGGAAATTCACATTCCTTGGTTCGTGGTCTCCTTCTTTCACCTCCAATACCATCAATATAATAACTATAATTTATTTCACCAGTGTAATTATTGCACATATTCCAATGCAACATCTTTTTCTGGCTATAGCCAGCAGAGGTTCTCAAAAGATTATCTCCTACCCTATAGGACCTTGCATAATTAAACTGGTCCACCTAAATAACCAGAGATAATGTCTCTGATCGTTGATTCGCTTTATTCACTACAGCAAAGCCACTTTTGTCCCTAAGATAGCATCCAATCAGAAGTACTGAAGAGTGGTGTGTGGATACACTTGGGGAGTCCAGCAATCTGGCTCCCACCACACACATTCTCTGCTCTTTCACTCCAGACTCCCAAGAGATGGTTACTGCTGTTAGCTCCATTTTGTAGATGAGGATACTGTTAGCAAGCTGTTTTAGATGCCATCACACTCTGAGAAGTGGCCAGGGACGCTCACCCTAGGGGGTCCACTGTCTTAGTCTTTTGCATTCCTGTCTCTTTGCCTGATGCCTCTGAAATCTATCTTCCCACCACTTGGTTTCAGCCACCCCTGTGGTTGACTTCAATTGTTGGAATATCCTAACTGGTCACACTCCCTCATTCTCCACTGTGCTGCCAGAGTTATCTTACAAATCCCGCATCTAATAAGGTCACAACCCTATGACATTCCACCACTGTCAGGGGAAAGCCCAGACTGGTGGAGCTGGTACACAGGACTGCCAGGACACTTGACTTGACTCTCCAGCTTCACTCTTCTCCATTCTCTCTCCCATGCTCCCACAATAAATCTAGCCCTCTCTAGTCTCCAAATGCTTTCACACACTAATTCTTTGCAGGTTTGTTGTGTACATTAAAACGCAGAAAGCATATTATCATACTTCGAGTATGTGTTTAATAAAGGATAGTCTACAGAGAAGGGCAGCATGCTTGAGACCTCACCACCATCTATCTAAAAGGAATAGGAAGTTTAACAGAAATTTGTGAAATCTGCTTCCTTTTATTCTAATTTGTTTATTCTCAGACTGATTTAAATAGAGGTGGGGAGAACAAAAGCCTGCTTGGGAAACAACACTGCTAAGCACGCCTCAATAACTCATCTTCTCTGTTCCGTTATCTAAAGTGGTGAGCACGTAAATAGAACAAAAGCAATAGAAATCAAAGACTAGAGCAGGTCTCTCCTGTTACAAACTATAAGCACAGAGAACGGGTGGGATCATGAGAAGGCTGCTTTGTAGGCAGAGCCCTCTGCCACAGGAAACAGACAAAGGGCTAGGCGTTTTTGAAGTACTGGATGAGTGATTTTATAAACTATTTGCAATTCTATGTCAAGTGAAATGTTTATAGTATGACTTAGAGAAAGTCTTCAAGACTGAGCCATACATCATCCCAGGCCTGCACATGGAGTAAGCTACTCTATTAATTCATTTGACAAAGGCAGCCTGCACATCTCCCTGCCTTGGGCATGACACAGACTTTAGGAGCCCATTGGCTGATTTGTAAGGAGCTCAGGCCAAGCAAATGGCTGTGGACCTACAGAGAATCCCAAGCTTAGGGAACTGGAGGAATTTGCCAGGATATGGCGGGGGGGGGGGGGGGGGGGGGGGTT